GAGTTCGCCATCCTGAGGATGTTGCTGCAGAACTCGGAAGGACGTTGCGTTTACATCACCCCCATGGAGGCCCTGGCGGAGCAGGTGAGCCCCTGCGTGCACCTCCGCACGTGCCTGGGTATCTCCAGGAGTTTGGTAGAGCACATTCTCATCCGGGATTAACAACCGCCCCCTCCTTGCGTTTTGGCAGGTCTTCATGGACTGGTACGAGAAGTTCCAGGAGCGCCTCAATAAGAAGGTGGTCTTGCTCACGGGGGAGACCAGCACCGACCTGAAGTTACTGGGCAAAGGGAACATCATCATCAGCACCCCTGAGAAATGGGACATCCTGTCGCGGCGCTGGAAGCAGCGCAAGAACGTCCAGAACGTCAACCTCTTCATCGTGGACGAAGTGCACCTCATCGGGGGCGAGAATGGGGTGCGTCTCGGGCGCGCTGCCGTCACAGGGGGTGGGTGACCGACCGTGGTGGTCCTGGGGCGGCTGATGGTTCCTGGTACCTGGAACGAGGGCAGCTTTTCCCATGGGAGTTTGCTGAAGCCCCAGTGTGGGGATAGGAGGGCTGATTCCCTTGGGAAGTTGAGGGGTGAGGAGCCCAGGGATGAGGGTGCTCGGGCCGTGGTGGCTGCAGCTCAGCCAGGAGACGTGGCCGAGCTGCCTCAGGCTCCTGCGTGTCCCCCTCCAACCTGCTGTGTGCCCCTGCAGCCGGTGCTGGAGGTTATCTGCTCCCGGATGCGCTACATCTCCTCCCAGATCGAGCGGCCCATCCGCATCGTGGCCCTGAGCTCGTCCCTGTCCAACGCCAAGGACGTGGCGCACTGGCTGGGCTGCAGCGCCACCTCCACCTTCAACTTCCACCCCAACGTCCGCCCCGTGCCCCTGGAGCTGCACATTCAGGTAGGACTTTGCCGGCTCCTCCCTCCGTTTCTCCTTTCCTTGTCCTTTCTGTGGGCTCTCAGGCACCATCGCTCCTTGCTGCTCCTCTGCGCAGGGCTTCAACATCAGCCACACGCAGACTCGCCTGCTCTCCATGGCCAAGCCCGTCTACCACGCCATCATGAAGCACTCTCCCAAGAAGCCCGTCATCGTCTTCGTGCCGTCCCGCAAGCAGACGCGCCTCACGGCCATCAACATCCTCACCACGTGCGCCTCGGACGTGCAGAGGCAAAGGTGGCTGTGCTGTGTCCCCCTGGGCTTTGTCCCTTTGTCCTTCCTCTGACTCTACTGGCCTGAGGGAGGACTAGTGCTGCAAAATGCCTGTGACTTGGTCTCGGCACGTGTCACCAGGCTCTCTCTTCCCCGTCAGGTTCCTGCACTGTGCAGAGAAGGACCTCATACCATACCTGGAGAAGCTGAACGACAACACGCTGAAGGAGACGCTTGTGAACGGCGTGGGCTACCTGCACGAGGGGCTCACGGCCATGGAGCGGCGAGTGGTGGAGCAGCTTTTCAGCTCTGGTGAGGACGTGGCTTCCCCTGGATTTCTGGGGCTGTTTTCCCTTGGGGTGCAAGCGCTGGCCCCAGAAACGCGCTCTGCCTCCAGCTGAGCACTCTCCGCTCGCCTTCCAGGAGCAGTTCAGGTCATGGTTGCCTCCCGCAGCCTCTGCTGGGGCATGGGCATCGCTGCTCACCTCGTGATCATCATGGACACGCAGTACTACAACGGCAAAATCCACGCGTGAGTGCGTCGGGCACGAGACCCGAATCCCCAAGGGCTTCATCCCTGTGCGGGCAGAAGTGACGCCCCGGGCAGCGGAGCGGCGGGAGCTTTCCGGGACGCATCTGCCCCCGTTGACAGCGCTGCTCTCTCCGTGTCTCAGGTACGTGGACTACCCCATCTACGACGTTCTGCAGATGGTGGGGCACGCTAACCGCCCGCTGCAGGACGACGAGGGCCGTTGTGTCATCATGTGCCAGGGCTCCAAGAAGGTCAGTGTGGAGCCGGGCACCGTGTCTCGCCTCTGAGCACTGCTCTCCTGCTTGCGCTGCGGGTTTCCCCTTGCGGCTCTGAACTCTTGCCACAAGCCCTGCTCTTGGGTTTGGGAGAGCTTTTATGGACACAGGTCCATATTTGGTCCCCTTGCCCTGCTGTAGGATTTCTTCAAGAAATTCCTCTATGAGCCCCTGCCGGTGGAGTCGCACCTGGACCACTGCATGCACGACCACTTCAATGCCGAGATTGTCACCAAGACCATTGAGAACAAGCAGGACGCAGTGGACTACCTCACATGGACCTTCCTCTATCGCAGGATGACCCAGAATCCAAACTACTACAACCTGCAAGGTGAGTGGAGAGGTCTGCACTGAATGACCCGGGGTGGGTGGACGCCCCCCTGCCTCTTCCCTGTGGGCTCAGTGTCTCCGAGAGCAGCTTTTCCCCTCGCTGGGAAGCCCCTGAGCCCCTTGGTGGTGTTCCTGCAGGCGTGTCCCACCGGCACCTCTCGGACCACCTCTCGGAGCTGGTGGAGCAGACGCTCAGCGACCTGGAGCAGTCCAAGTGCATCAGCATCGAGGACGAGATGGATGTGGCTCCTCTGAACCTGGGCATGATCGCGGCCTACTACTACATCAACTACACCACCATCGGTGAGGGCTCTGCGAAGGGCGGGTGCCCCCGGGGCTCCTGCTCGTGGGACGGAGCCCACAGTGCTCTGGGCAAACAGGGCGTGTGGTTAGAGGCAAAAGGCCACGTCCCTTAGCATGATGCCAAGAGCATCTCGTGGTTCGGGGGTTGATGCTGCCTTGGTTCTCCCTGACCCTGCGGCCTCCATGTCTTCCCCAGAGCTCTTCAGCATGTCCCTCAACGCCAAGACCAAGGTGCGGGGTCTGATCGAGATCATCTCCAACGCCGCCGAGTACGAGAACATCCCCATCAGGCACCACGAGGACAACCTGCTGCGGCAGGTGAGCGAGCGGGCAGCGCGCCCAGCACCAAAGTGCTGCTGGTGGCATCTGGGCCCCAGGGGACATGGGGGCAGGATGGCTGCAGGGACCTCTGCGCTGTGTGGCTGCAGCGCTGATGGATTTCTCTGTCTTTAGTTGGCCCAAAAGGTTCCCCACAAGTTGACCAACCCCAAATTCAACGATCCCCACGTCAAGACCAACCTGCTGCTGCAGGCCCACCTGTCGCGCATGCAGCTGAGCGCCGAGCTGCAGTCGGACACCGAGGAGATCCTCAGCAAGGTAGAGGGAGCGCGCGGGCGCCCGGAATCCCCGCGGCCCCCGGCTGCCCTGCGCCCTCCCGACGCGTCCCGCCCTCCCGCAGGCGATCCGGCTCATCCAGGCGTGCGTGGACGTGCTGTCCAGCAACGGGTGGCTCAGCCCTGCGCTGGCCGCCATGGAGCTGGCGCAGATGGTCACGCAGGCCATGTGGTCGAAGGACTCGTACCTCAAGCAGCTGCCTCACTTCACCTCCGAGCACATCAAGCGCTGCACCGACAAGGCAAGTGCCGAGGAAAAGGCTCCTCCCGGGAATTGGGAGCCACTGGCTTCCCATCGCGGGGCCGAGCCCCGAGCGAGGCTGACGGGCGCCGCCGCTTCCTTGTTGCAGGGTGTCGAGAGCGTCTTCGACATCATGGAGATGGAGGACGAGGACCGCAACGCGCTGCTGCAGCTCTCGGACGCGCAGATCGCCGACGTCGCCCGCTTCTGCAACCGCTACCCCAACATTGAGCTCTCCTACGAGGTGGTGGAGAAGGAGAGCATCCGCAGGTGGGTCCCGGCGCGCCGCGCCGCCCCGCGCTGCCGCCGCGGGGCCACCCTCACCCCCTCTCCCGTGGCTCTCTCCACGCAGCGGAGGACCCGTGGTGGTGCTGGTGCAGCTGGAGCGCGAAGAGGAGGTCACCGGCCCCGTCATCGCACCCCTCTTCCCCCAGGTACGTCCAGCTCTGCCCCGGGGGCTTCTGCCAGCATCTCCCGCGCTGGGGGGGCTCAGCAAGGCTGGGCACGGCGGGAGCCGGCCTGAGCCCTTTTCCCTCCGGCAGAAACGCGAGGAGGGCTGGTGGGTGGTGATCGGCGACTCCAAATCCAACAGCCTCATCTCCATCAAGCGGCTGACGCTGCAGCAGAAAGCCAAGGTGAGCGGGGCTGGGGCGAGCGGGAGCGCGTGGGGCCCGGGGGTGCCCGGGAGTGCCCGCCGTGCCGCCCAACGCGCGCTCCCTGGCGCAGGTCAAGCTGGACTTCGTGGCCCCGGCCACGGGCACCCACAACTACACGCTGTACTTCATGAGCGACGCCTACATGGGCTGCGACCAGGAGTACAAGTTCAGCGTGGACGTGAAGGAGGCCGAGAGCGACAGCGAGTCCGACTGAGGGCCGCTGGTGCCGCCGCTTCGCCCCGCGAACGGGGACCCTCGCGCGGTGGCCGGGCCGGGCAGGCGGCCCTCGCTGCTGGCGCCCGCTCTGCTCCTCGGCCCCGGCGCCTCCCTCTTCTCCCGCGCTGGGTGTTTTTTACAGTGGTGTTGCTCTGTACAGTGTTTTTAGGGAGTAGCTGTATGTGGGAGCGCGGAGCAACTGCAGCAGCTGGAATAAACCTTAACCCTTCACCTGGGCCTCTGCAATGGGGGTGTTGAGGGAGGGGAGGGCATGGAGAAAACAGTCCCCCTGTCCCTTGGAGCTCAAAATGGTCATTAGCAGGATTAATTAAGAGCCTGAGCTGTCTAACAGCTCTTGCTGTCTAACAGCTGAGAGAATGAACGGGGGTGGTGGAAGGGAAAAGCAGGTTCCCCCCATGTGGGAACCGACCTCCCCAGGCCCCAGTTTCCAGGGAGGGCCAAAACCCCCAGGCCCTTCATGGCCGCTTTGGCAAGTCCCCAGGGACCAACGTCGCCGGCAGGGAGGGCTTTGCTGGCACCAAGGACAAGCCGGAGTCGCCTATGGAGCCAGCACCCTTTTATTGAGCATGTGCATGCACGTGAGCACGGGGACGCCCCCGGCGCTGCCCCGCGTGTCCCCGGGGGCCCGCGGGCCCCGCATGCGCCCGCCGCAGCCCCGGCCGTCGCGCCGGGCGCTCAGCAGCCCTCGGGGCGCTGGTAGTGCCAGAAGGCGACGTCGCCGTCGTCGCTGCACGAGGCCAGCAGGCCGGGCTCCGTGGGGTGCCAGGCCACGCAGTTGACGTCCTGGGTGTGCGCGCGGGCCACGTGGGCCGCCAGGCTGAAGGTGGGCGGCTCGTGCGGGGCGCCGGGCGCGCTCTCCTCGAACACGCGGATGGCGTCGTCGCCGCAGGCCGTGGCCAGCGCGCCCGTCAGGTGGCACCTGCGGTGCCGGCGGCATCAGGCAGTGCCCGCGGTGCCACCGGCGCACCAGAGCGGCCGTGTGCTCACCATGCCACGTCGTAGATGGTCCGTGTGTGGAAGCCAGAGAGGGTGCAGACGCACTTCCAGCTGGGATCGGAGCTGCTGCCGGCCCCCCCTGCGGCACAGAGCCCCCCTTACCCCTCTGCGCGGGCGGGAAGGGGTCGGGCCCGGGGCCGCCCCTCACCTTGCTCGGCGCCCGGCTCGTGGCGGCGCCACACGCGCACGGTGCGGTCGTCGCTGCAGGACGCCAGGCGCTGCCCGTCGCGGTCGAAGGCCACGCTCCACACGGTGGACTCGTGGCCCTCGAGCGTGGCGCAGCACACCCAGTCGTCGTCCTCCTCGCGGTAGAGCTTCACCGTGTCGTCGTAGCTCGCCGAGGCCAGGAGCTGCGCGGGACAAGGGAGGCGGTGGGAGGCCGCGGGGACGGCGCCGCCGCGGGCCCGCCCGCCCACTCACCTCCTGGCTGGGGTGCCACACGACGTGCTTGACGTCCTGTGTGTGCGAGCTGAGCACGCTCACGCACTCGTACTCCTCCTCCTCGTCCACTGCGCGGAGGAAGCGCGCGGTGAGCGGGGCCGCGGGCGCCGGGGCCGCGGGGGCAGCCGGGCGGGCGCTCACCTTCCCACACCCACACGCTCTTGTCACGGCTGCACGTGGCCAGCAGGGTCCCCGAGGGCGCCCAGGCCACCGACTTCACCTCGTTCTCGTGGCCCTCCAAGGTGGTGACGCACTGCGGGGCGGCGGGGCCGTGAGCGCGGCCGCGGCCCCCGCCCGGCGCCGCCGCCGCCCCCGCTCACCTCGAAGCCGCCGGGCTCCTGCTTCCAGATGCAGGTGGTGGCGTCGAAGCTGGCCGAGGCCAGGTAGGTGCCGCAGGGCGACCAGGCCACCTTGCGCACCGTGCGCTGGTGCCCGTCGCTCAGCACCGCGCGGCACGACCAGCCCGCGCCTGCGGGCGCACGGGTGCTGCCCACGGGGACGGGACCGCACCGGCACGGCCCCGCCCCCGCCGGCGTGGCCCCGCCCCCCTTCGCAGCCCCATCCCTCAATGCCGCCCCCGTGCTCATGCCATCCTAGCCCCGCCCTTTCTTCTAGCCCCACCCCTTTCTCTCAGCACAAGCTCCGCCCCTTCCCTCAGCCCCTCGGGTTTTTAGCCCCGCCCCTTGCCCCAGACCCTCCAGCCCCGCCCTCTTACCCAATCCCTCTCCCGGGTCCCTGGCCCCGCCCCCTCACAGATAGCCCTCCCTGGCCACGCCCCCTCCCCAGCCCCGCCTTCACAGCCCAGCTAGCCCC